TTCTCTATAATAGCAGATTCCAGTGTGTGTTTCCTTTGACTGATTAACTCTCTTCTGAATGGGTCATCCAATATCTGCATGCTAAGATACCTGTATGGCTGTGAATATTTCTCTGCCATACAGAAGCACTTGGGATTAAGCCACAGTCCCAGTGTGTACTACTTGTAAATATGGGAAACTATTTATGGATAAAAACAAACTCAAAACTAAAACCTTTAAACCAGACCTTTACACCAGCAACTCTTGAAACTGATGACAATTTAGTAAAAGGTTTAATTATGTGCACGGCAACAGAAATTTACTTCTAAAATACAAGATTTAAACACTGATGGATACAGACTTGGGTAAACAGCATCAATTATTACTAAAAATAAAAAGACGTGCAGTTTATAAGTAAAACAGACCAATGGGCCATGTAAAGCTCCATGAAGTTTATTCAACAGGTATCCAAACTTTTAAGATTTCAAGTATCGACCTATCAGTGTTGTCTCAAACATCTCTACACACTTATGACATGTTATTCATGAGATTTCTAATTATATACAACAAAATGAGTACAGTATGATCTAGTTAATCTGAATCAGTCTGGGAAAAACCTCGATGTAAACATTCACATGCCAGTAGAAGACACTGTTCAGTCTATAGGAATTATCCCTATGCAGATTGTGTATAAGTCTACATCTGCAACACATATAAAGAACATGGATTAATGTCAAACACTGCATGATAGTGATCTAAAAATTAGACACAGTTTAGTGATTAATATATTCCCTTGCTCATTCACCATGGAATTCTTGGTTTATTCTAAAACCTAGATTTAAAAAAAAAAATCCAATTACTATTAAAATAAGGTAGAGGGAGTAGCCACATATTAGAGCCAGTGAGTTGGTGCATATATTTTTTAGCAGCTGGGGAAATCAGTGATTACATTCGCTGAAAAAAAAAAAAAAAAAAAAAAAAATTCAATTTTAAAGTAACTTCAACAGCAGGACGACACCTGCTTCAGCAACTGCTGCCAGAGGGCCTAGAGCCCTAGCAGCTATCACTGCTTCAAACTAATGCTTAATTGCAGAAATTCGTAAATTGTGTTGCCAAAAGCTGTATTTAAAATGGTAATTACACCAGTGAATTCCTGAATGTTACCAAGGGGTGATCTGCAAGAAAGTAATTTGAAGAAAGCAGTATGCTTTCTTGCCCATATCAATTACATTTTAAGTCAGTCATGAGTTAATGACCATTTAATTATTATATACTTAAGGCAGTCAGTGTTTCATAAGATGAACCAAAATGAAGCCTAAAGGAAGTGGATATTAAATAAATAATCTAGAGTTACACTAGGGCTGTGTCTACACTGGCATGAATTTCCGGAAATGCTTAAAACAGAATAGTTTTCGTTATAAGTATTTCCGGAAAAGGAGCATCTACATTGTTAGGCTGCTTTTCCAGAAAAGCCCTTTTTCCGGAAAAGCGTCCATGGTCAATGTAGACACGCTTTTCCGGAAAAGAGCCCCGAGCGTCATTTTCGCGATCGGGGCTTTTTTTCCCCCGGAAAAGACTACTGGGCTGTCTACACTGGCCCTTTTCTGGAACAGCGTTCCGGAATAAGAACTTATGCCCGAGCGGGAGCAGAATAGTTTTTCCGGAATAGCGGCTGATTTTGTACAGTAGAGCATTGTTGCTTTTCCGGAAATTCAAGGGCCAGTGTAGACAGCTCGCAGCTTATTCCGGAAAAGCGGCTGATTTTCCGGAATAAGTGGCCCAGTGTAGATACAGCCAAGGTGTGTGTGCAACATATTGCTCAAATTAGTTCACATCAAGTATATGCCACATTTCAGAAGATAAATGGCTCCTTATGGAGATACATACAATATATATACGTACCTGAAGAAACACACATAGTATTGCTCCAGTCTCTTACTGGTGCTGTGTGCACCACAGTTTGCAGAAACAGGGCCACATACTACTCAGAGAAAGGAGGGAGGGCATGGTACTGAAGTCCTGAATTCTAATCCTTGCTCTGAAAATGATTCCCTCTGTAACCTTTACTAAATCACTTTTCTGCCCAAGTTAACATGATTCCACCAGCTTCAAATTCTTTCTTGGGAACTAGAAGCTGGTAGGCAAGTTTGGATTTCTTTTTCTCCTGGTATAAATATTTCCTATTTAGCTCTGTAGGCTATGACCTACTAGAATTGATTTACTAATCAAAGACTGAAGAGAGCCCATCTTCCAGCATTGTACTTTTAGAAGGAAATCCATGTTTGGGATACAGAAAATATTTCATTGGGTTGTTTTTTTTTTAAAAGCATCTCTTAAAACTGCTCAGAGGGGTCTGGAATGTTAAAAGTAAAGAATAGATTAGTGGGCAGGGTGCCAGTGAGATGGTCAAAAGTACATTTTAAAATCACACCTATCACCTGACTTTTGAAAATCTATATATTAGTTGTACATCATAACTCATTCCATTTGAGGCATTTATTATACATTTTTATACCACATGGAGTTATTTTAGCAGTCAGTTTTATATTATTTTCCCTCAACATATCATCATGAGTGCTGTAGCAAATGAAAGTCCACTTTGTAAACCATATTGCAATTCTCCAACTGTTTTGTTCTAATGTACTGGTAACTTCAACTTTCCTGGATACAGAATGTTCTTGAAGTGTTTTTCTCCATTTTTCAGTAGAAATATAGAGTATTGGAAAATGTTTTATTCTTAAGATGTATTAGTTTAATGAGGAGGGAAAGAATCAAATAATCTTTTAAAATAAGTTGTATTTGATCTCTTTAGCAGTAGTGCATTTTAAGGCTAACAGTGATCATGGTTTTCCAAGGAAAGGTAAGTTCCATAATTGGACGGAACTGTGGAAGCCATAAATGACTTCGGATAAGATTTTCAAATCCACACAGCGGTGGGCTAACTTTGCTTCCATTGAAATAAATGTTAAACTAAATATCAATGGAAGCAGGATTGGGGCTGGTGCCCAGAACTTTTGAAAATCCACTCTGCAATATGGCCCTACACTACAGATTGTTTAATTCCATGAAGAAACTCCCAAAATTAGTGAAACCCGTGAATTGTGCCTTATAGCCAGAGTTTAGGTTTCTACAGACAGAAAGTTTTGAAGAATTTTAGTTTAAAATGTATTTTCAATTAATGTTAAGAACTTTTTCCAAATTCCTCTAGTGTCTTTCTTTCAATGCTATAATGGAGGAGCTCGGAATTTCACTCAAGCATCAGAAGAAATTAAAGAAAAGGTCAAGAACTAAAGGGAGATCATCGTTCACAAGTATCCTTACTTGTCATCAGAGGCGGACACTGAGGAAAGAAACCATGGCATAAACAGGGGGAAACCCCTCCCAGGAAACATCAGGAATAAAAACAAACAACCAAACTTTGCTGCCTACAAAATTGACTTGAGGAATTTCTGAAAATAGACTTGTTCTTCAGAAATTGTATGTGGTTTCTTTTTATCTAGGAAAGGTCCAGCAGTTTAAATGCTCATTTAGACTGAAGTACAACTATTTGGAAAAGCATCTCACCATTTCTTTTGAAAAGAATTTGTATGCTGACCTATTTTGCATCACTGTTCCCTTCCCATACATCGCTGTATGTGCTTTCTAAATAAATAAAGATACAGAGGTTTTTTTTCCAAATAATGTGTATGTCCTACATTTTTCCTTTCACTTTCATAGCCATAACATATTCTTATTTCTTTTCATAAAAAATTGCAGTACTGCCAATTACAAGCAGCTAAAAAACATGTGTCTGGCCATACAAAACTGAGTGGCTTGAAGATTATTTGCCTTCCTGGTGTTGACCTATTTAGCATCACATTTTTTAAGCTTCTCACTGCAACCAGGAGAGGTGGGATTTTTAAAATAAAAGCTGAGCTTCTCCCTTTTATTAAAATGAGGGCTTTAAGAAACAATAACAAATATTACAAACACTCTGAAAAGGTGAGAAAGTTGGCAGTCCAACCATTTGTATACTGCATTATCCTTTTGGCTCTTGGTATTAAAAAATGCCTAATGTACACTGTCCCCCTTAGAAATAACAGCCAATAGTACACCATTAATTTTATTCATATTATAAAACTGACCACAAAAATACCAAAGCTAAACTGCATCTTTTAGGAAATAGAACAGAGCTCATTTTCTAGGATGAAACTGTACTTGCTTTAAGTGTGTCACAGGGGACACCACTTAAAGATACTATAATTAAGCAAATAATAGTCTCTCCTGAAATACTACCTCTTTTTAGCATCTGAGAAAATATGAGGAATGGCTTCTGATGGCCCCGAAGTGTGAAATTTGAAGGGCCATGTTCTGCCCTTGCTTATGTGCGTACAGCTCCTGTAGTGCTCAGCAGAGGATACAACTTTGGCTTTTAAATATATGACCTTCCAGGAAAAGAACAAAAACCAAAAGACCCTGAGTTATGTAACTCAGTGTTTCAAGCTTACAGAGTTTGATAACCTTTTGTTGCAGTTCGCACACTTTTCATCTTTCACTTTCCAGTTTTGATTCCATACAAACCTGGAAACCAAACCAAAATGTCTCAAATTGTCCCAAAATATCAACCGTTTTGTTGTGTAGTATGTACAAAACCAGTTTCATTTATTGGCCCCCACAGCCAGCCCATCTCCCTACTCTCAGTGAGCAGGCCACAGACCATGAACATACTTTCTTGATAATTTTCATGAGACTTAAAAATAAGCTAGTAAATATTAGCTTTAAAGCCTCCCAGGCTGATATTGTATTCGTCATAAATAGGTTATAGTTTTACTGTATAATGAGTCACCACCTATCTGAAAAATACTGCAAATTATACAAAGAGAGGTGGGAGTATAGAGGCTGTGTAAAGTTTTTTTTAAATGACTGTCACCAGGTGGACATATTTCCCTCTTCTGAACAGATTCACAAGTGGAAAAAAGGAGCAATCCCAGGGGGTGACACTAGCAAAATTACCACACGTCTGAAAACCATGAGTCCCCAGCCTACTGTGCAAAGACCCCCTTCTCTTCTTTGATCCTCTGACAGCCATATGGACCCAAAGCATCAGAGAGTCAGGCCCTAGCCATCTATCACAGTTCATAGTCATGTTCTCTGCCTTCTCTGATTGGGGAGTCAACAAAAGAGACACAAGAGCTATTACTGCTTCAGTGGAGTGCTAAGCTCCATAGTGATTCTTCGACATTTTCATGGGGAAGCAGACCTCCTGCTACTCACCTTGGGTTTCTGGTAACATCCACATCCTTTGCAAATTGCTGTGATGGGAGAAATACATACATTGAGGTAAACTGGAAAAGAACCTTCCCTTTTGTCCCCCTGGATCTTTTACACTAACTTGCACAGCTGGGGGAATCAAAAGGAAGCAGTGGAGGCCTGAAGCTTGAAATGAATTAAGTTCCTTTATTGGAGTAGTGTGAATAGTATAAATTATTATGGGCTGGATTTAAAATAGTGATTAGTGATTTTAGGTGCTGAACTTCAGATATTTTATCTTCATAAAGATCTAAGCAACCACCACCCTGCAAATCAAATCACTTTCAAAGTGGCTCAGATCATTCCTCATTTTTTTTTAAAAGACATGGTGGATATTAAGTGTATTTTAGTTTTTAATACCTGCTTATACACCGTATAATGTGTCTGCTATATTAATGTACAAGGTAAGATTACAACTACATGTTGAACTACTCTAGTCTGGCACCCTCTGGTCCAACAACATCCATGGTCTGGCATGATTTTAGGTAGCTTATGGGGGGAGGCCAAATTTCCATGCTACCAATCCTGGCTCTCAGTGTTCCGTGCATTATTTAGCTCTAATTTATCACTAAGTGTCTTCTAAGAGCCCAGTAAGCCATAGAAGAGTTGTTAATGTTGCTAGACAATACTGACCTGCCATGGTTCGGCACCTGTCAGGTTCCCAGGGTGCCAGATTAGAGAAGTTCAACCTGTAGCGTATAAACCCAAAGAGGGAAAACACACATTGTCCTGAGGGATAACAGTGTGTCTGTTTGCAAACTCACAGTAACAAATATGATTAGTTGTGACCTTTTTATAATGTCCCAGCAAATAGTGATTTTTTTCTTACATGGCAGAACATTATGCAAATTAAGTTAACTGGAAGATTATCTGTCAGGAAAGCAAATGTTCTTATTAGAGAGTTAAACTGACTTATTTTTCATGCATATACTCTAATTGCTTCTAATGGAGGAATGAAGTGGTGATGGGTGCTGCTACCGTGTTTCATTCCAGAAGCGTCTGTATTTTTGCAGTGGGTGATGTGATCTTTATACTATTGCACATCATGAGGTTGGGGGGAGGGGGTATTGTAAGGCTTAATTAACATTTAACAACTGAGATGATACCTGGAAAAAAGACTCTATAGAAAGTACAAAACAACATACTATATCAGATCTCTGGGTTTAACTGTGTACACTCAGAGCCTAGCTCAATAGACGCATAATTGGGATGTGTGGGTATTGCTGCAATGCAAGTTATATACATGAAAACACATCAAGCCAACCAAAAGAACACAAGCTGTTACTGGCACTCTGTTCATTTGCCCCACGTCTTTTAAGTACAAAGCACTTCCTCCAACAAAGACTCCAGTTCACCTTTTCAGTTTTCCCTTTTCATCCCAGCCTCCTTCACCATGTTACATCAGTGCACAGTGTATTTTTCTTTATAGCCATCTGCTTTATACTTTCTATTACTTATACTGATCTTCAAAAGTCTTCAGCTGAAATAAAAAGTCAATATTAAGCCCAGAAGGTTTCATTTGGCTAAAGGACCAGTTTAACACCCTTTAAGGGACTGATTCTTGCAGGAA